TTTAATTTTCTTGGAAATTACATCATCATTATCATCGTCATCGTCATTGTCACTGTGCTCACGTTTACCTTTCAACGTTTTCACTTTCACGACATCCCTAATTTTCGACGATTTGTCTCGCTCGGTGATATCAACAATTTGTCTCAACGGTTCTACGATCGGTTTGAATTTTTTCTCCAGGGCAATTTCGCTCTCCATTATGCCCGTTTTCAACGCTCTGTGTTTCTTACGAATCGACTCACGTGTTTTCGCAATCAATTTTGCGGTTCGCTCACGTTCGGCGATGTTCTTCGTATCGTTCATATCGTTGCGACGTCACAATAGACACTGCACGATTCACAGTATCGCGAAATCGTCGAAGCCACGTCTGTACCTACCGTTATGTAACGCACTGTCCTTGTCGATAACTACGAAGCCGTATTTGCGTTGCCAACACAGATGACACAGCGTGCAAAATTTTTCATAAGACATATCGGTATTCACGTGATCGTTGTAAATGTGTTTCAGATTGGTACCATCTTGTTTGAATAGAATTAGAAAATTCGCATTGTCGCGTATGAGATGCTTTGGTATTTTCGCGTATGTTTGACAGAGATAAAAACAATCGATACTCGCATGTCGACCCATAGCGAAGTATTCCCTGATAGTATTCTGCTTGTCGCAGGCTACGTCGTCGAATACGAAAATCGAGTTCGGAAGCGCTTCGCCAGGTGGAATAACGTCGCCATTATTAGAGAACGCGTAGTAACCAATATCATCGATCGATTCTAGCAGCTCCTCGAGATATCGATATTTAGGTTGAGACAAAGATTTCGAGTAAACGTAAACATTTTCGAAACGTAGACCGTGTGGACTCTCTATCAAACTTAACAAAATATTCGTTTTACCGCAATTGGAGGGTCCGCAGATGATGCAACGAATCGTACTAGGTAGCGCAGAGCCGTGTCTGCACTTATCTCTGACAGTTTCACGCGACATCAGTCGCGTCTTCCGATCGAGATTCGATACTCCTATCGTTCGAGATTGTCGCACGAATCGCATTTGTCGCTCTCGTGACGCGCGTGCGCGGACTTCGATGCGACACGGGAGAGTCTCGTGCTATTTATACCGCGAACAGACGAGCATTTCACACAGTTTGTCATCTATTGTGACTAGTAATCGTTCAAAAATGTTTATCCTGATAACAGAAAAACGTGACATTCTCGCTTTTACCGCCGAACAACTGCAGTACGTACCAAGGATCGTTCTTCTGCGAGAATTTGAAAATTATATAGAACAGTTGTGGGATCGATTACCCGATCATATAAAAGCCGATACTGAGGTGAAACGTTGTCGTACGTGTTTCGAGCATTACAATCTTCCGGATCAACAAACGCATATAGACGGTCCACCGCCTCTTATCAAGAATTGTGTCCAATGTCTCACAGATATGCAAAAAACGTGCTGAAATGATATCTGCGCACGGCGCGGGTTTACTGAACGCAACGATAAACGCGCTTCCATTTGAATTACATATACCTGGATATCAATTTTGCGGACCTGGCACGCGACTCGCGAAACGATTAGCTCGCGGCGATCGAGACATCAATCAATTAGACGCAGCTTGTCGCGAACACGATATCGCGTATTCGCAAAGCAAAGACCTAGCCAGTCGACACATTGCTGATCGAGCTCTCGCCGAGAGAGCACGACAGCGTATTACAGCAAGCGATTCGACTTTCGGTGAGAAAGCCGCCGCGACAGCCGTGTGGGCAGCCATGAAGTCGAAGACAAAATTGGGCATTGGTGTGAAGAGGAGGAAAAAGTCGAAGAGGATTTTATCTGTAGCGAAACGCGGTGGTTTCCTACCGATTTTACCAGTGTTGGGAGCGCTCGGGTCTTTGATCGGAGGAGCAGCTAGCGTAGCGAAAGCGGTGGGTGATCGTAAAGCCGCTCGACGACAACTCGAAGAATTGCAACGTCATAATCGCGCGATGGAGGGTCGCGGTCTGCACATTGCACCATACAAACGCGGCGGTCGTGTGAGGAAGAGGTCGAAGAAGGTAAAAAAAAAACATGGAAGAAAACGATAGAAACTCTTAGATTACCCATCTCTGGCACCACAACGAACGAGCAATTCAGTCATTCGGCGTATCTTTCAAAATTACCGTTCTTCAGAGGTGTATTCATGCGCGATGCGATACCCGCGAAATCACGTCGTAACGAGTGCGGTATCGTGAACCTCGACGATTCGACAGCCCCCGGTACACACTGGGTCGCTTACGCGAAGAGGGGAGACGAGGCTGTCTACTTCGACAGTTTCGGTAATCTCAGACCACCGAGGGAACTCGAACGATATCTCGGAGGTAACATTACGTACAACAGACGATCATATCAGTCGTACGATCAAAGCATTTGCGGTCAGTTGTGTCTGCGATTTCTCTGGGAGATCGATTGGAAGAGGAAGAAGCTCCTCGCGTGATATATTGCACAGCGATCCGAACAGTCCTGCGGTAACTTTCGTGCTACGATCATGTCGTTGACTCTCACACTAACGGGAAGAAACAGTGTCCTCGCGGCGAATTATTTCCCCGCTTTGGACTTGAGCGATAGCGAATACGAATTGGGTCTTACGAATTTCGAAACGTACAACACGATACCGAACGTCACCTCCTCGAATAATAAATTCCACTTCGACACAGACAACATTACGATCACGATTCCCGTAGGTTCGTACGAATTGAATGATATCGAAAAGTATCTGAGGACCGCTATAGTTCACAATACATTACCGAGTACTATCAACAACGACGAACTCGAAGAATTCGACGAGATAGATCTAATATACGAGGACGAAAAAACTATGGAACGGGCGAAATCTGTATTGATTCTTCGCGCGAACGAAAACACCATGAGAAGTGAGATCAAGTGTGAATATCTAGTGGATTTTTCCAAAACGAACAGTATCGGTTCATTGTTGGGCTTTTCGACGTCTCGCGTGTTACGACCGAACAAGTGGTATGCGTCGGACGAACTGGTGAAAATTATGAACGTGAATATAATTCGCGTTGAGTGTAACATTACCTCGGGTGCGTACAACAACGACAGACCGGCACATACGATACACGAATTCGCGGTGAACGTTCCTCCAGGATATAAACTATCCGTTACTCCAACGCACGTCATTTATCTCCCGGTCATCGCACGAAACATTACCGATATAACGATACGTGTAGTGGATCAGAACGGACAGTTGATCGACTTTCGCGGCGAAGAGATATCGATTCGACTTCACATACGACGTAGACGTTAGGGGATACTATGTTCGAAGGCGGAAGATGCTCGTCTTGAACGATTCGTACGACGGAGTGAACGCATCGCAAACGTCGACATTGTGGCAACCGTTCAAAAATCGATACGATCGAACGAAAAGACGAAAAAAAGGAGGTCGATTGAACGCCACGAACGTCGCCTTTCTACGATCTGTCGGATTCGTCGTGAGAAATGAATCGTGATATCCTGAAGATCGGAGGTACTCCGATCTTCGACGATCGCATCGTTAAAATAGAGACTCACACTTACAATCCGTACACTAATACTACATTCGGATACAGCTATGAAATACGGATACCGATTCAACATCAGGATCTCTACACGTTACCGTGCGAAAGTTTGCTCACATCGAGGGAAAATTCATTGTGCGAAGGAAGGAAGGAAGTACCAACGAACCACCGAGACTGTCGAATAATTGCGTCGCATTCATGTTCGACGAGATTCGCTACGAATTAGACGGAGTGGAAATTGACAGAAACTGAAACGTTGGTATTACGAGCACAGTTAAAAATTACGTTTCGTTGACAGTTGACAGAAGCAGAACGTTGGAGAATGCCGGATGGCAGCTTACATTAGGTCTAGACGCATTATTAACAAGTCGATCGATAACTGAAGATTTTAACTTTAGCGTACCGCTTAACATACTTCTGGGATTTTGCGAGGATTACAAACGTATAGTGATAAACGCCCGACATGAACTAGTCCTGATACGTGCGCGTAACGACAACAATTGCGTTATCGCGAGGAACGCAGACGACTATACACTCACGTTATCGAAAATGCAATGGAAGATGCCACACGTGGTACTGAACGACGTCAACAAATTGTCACTTCTGCGAACGTTGGAAAACGGACGGTATCTCAGCATGGGATTTTGATCTTGGGATTTGTACGAGTTTCCTCTACTTCAGAGCACGACCAAACATTCGTGGGCTGTGAAGACAACGTCGCATTTGGAAAAATCGCGTTACGTGATCTTTTCGCTTCAAACTGGAAAGCGAAACGTACTCTCTAAGGATACCACTCATTTCGACGCGTGTGCTCTAGTAAACATAAAAACTATTTTTGAACTCTGATTTTTTCCCGTATGATGATATGAATTTGGATTTCGAACGTAATAAAATCGCAATACTATACGACATGTATGCAAAATTTGCGAAATCGTACTACGGCTACGAAACATACGAAGCTTTGTTGTCCGTCGCGCAATTTGTTTCAGCCGCGCCGCTCGTGGTGATCGATTGCTCTCGTCAAAACGAATCTGTGAAAAGCGCTACCGTGGACATTCGTATCGAATTCGAATGTAGGGAAAATATTCCATCGGGCACCACGGCCTATTGTCTAATTATTCATGACAGAGTAATAGAGTACAATCCATTGACAAATGTCGTTCGTAAGATTATATAACGATACACGTGATTATGTTTTTCTCAACTCAATTTAGACGATTCCATATGCTAATGTAAGTTTTTCCTGTATGCTTTACAAAAATAAACTATATTTAAAAAAAAAATGCACCACGTTCATTGACGCTCTTATCTCCTCGTTTCCTGTATCTATTTTTAGACACTCTTATCTCATCGTTTTCATTTGTCTATTTTTAGATAAAACATACCACTCCTCTCTCCGCACTCGCAGTATGCGATTAATAGTCGAACCGTACGTTTCTGCTGTACACGTACGCCGCGATGTCTCTCGCTTTCCTCGTCGCTTTCCTTTCCATAACAATATCCGCGTCGACGCCGACGGTACAAAATTTAGTAAACACCGAGGTGATAGAATATCTGCAGAAATATGGTTACCTGAAAGAGGTGGACGTAACCACTCACACGTCGATCGAAGATGAAGAAATTAAACAGGCTATCGCATTATTCCAAGAATACTATCAAATACCAGGTAACGGTGCGTTGAACGATAATACATTACGTCAAATGCGACAACCGCGATGTGGGTTACCAGATATGTCACACCAGGAACAAAATAGTGTTGTAGCGAAATGGAGAAAAACGCATCTTACGTGGAACTTCCACTTGGCAGACGCAGATACATTGAAAACTACGGCACACGCATTCTCCGTATGGGAAGCGAACACATCTCTAACATTTGAACGTCAAACGTTAAATCCAGACATTTTAATATCGTACCGCGAAGGATTTCATACATACGTCGATAGCAGACGCAAAGAGATCTGTTCCGGTTTGTTCGACGGACCTGGTGGAGTACTCGGACATGCGTTTTCACCTACGAACGATCTCGTGCAAACCACAGAGATACACATAGACGGATCGGAACAATGGCATATATATTTAAACGAAAATATACCAGACAACAAAGTGCAATTGCTTTACACGTTAACGCACGAGATCGGACATTCATTGGGAATGTCGCACAGTACACATAGAGATTCCATAATGTTTGCTTACGTCACCAATAATACCGTTAAACTCAGCCTAGAGGACAGTTTAGCTATTCAACGTCTGTACGGAATAAAAAATCGTAATGTAGTGCCGAGTACACGATCGCCACCGGTAACAACTAATACAACGAAAACAACATCAAACAAAAGAGATCTGTGCGATCTACAGTACGTAGACAATGTACTGGTGTTGAATCATCGCATTTTCGTTACCTATCTAAACACCATGTGGATGATAGACGTCAACGGTAAGAAGTACAAAGGACCAATCGCAATCAACGATTACCTTCGTTTTCTTCCGGCGAATGTTTCCATAAACGCTGCGTATCAACGACCATCTGGAGAAATTGTAATATTCGCGGATAATCAAATTTACATGATAGACTATCCGAGTTTACGATTGAAGGACGGTTGGCCGAAACGACCATTCGACTTAAAGTTACCCACGAACATGCACGTTAACGCAGTATTGGTCACCAATAGAGGACAAACGTACGTGATCTTCAATGACGATAGCGTAGCATTACTGAACGAATGCGATATGACCATTAACGGATATCACACGTTACAGTCGATATTTCCAGGAATACCGCCATCTCCTACTCTAGCCTTCCGATATATCGACGGTTCTCTTTATTTCCTACACAGACGTCAATATTACAAATTTAACGAATTCACCAGAACGGTAACGAATGCTGATAAATTCGACATGAAAATACTCAATGTTAATTGTCTCACAGACGGATTACTCAAGCAATTGCAGGATCTTCTTACTCGACTGCTCCAATCAAGTAATTCACTCACAAGCACCGCGTTGAATACAGAGGACGATTAACACGACGTTTTATGTAAAAAAAAAATGTATATCACTTAGATAGGTACGCAGAAGATCAGTGTGAAAGAACGAATCGTTCGAATAACATCGTGAGAGAGACATGTACGCGATTTCAAACGACACCCACGACGACACTCGACATCTCATCGAGCGTACCAATGGAAAAAAGGAGAAAAAATCCGACGAAACGAACAATCGAAAAAGACGATATGACGATATGGAAAACGGAACAGACACGTAGGTACTATTTTTTATTACATTTTTTCTTATCTAATTATTTTTTTCTTTCGTTACAGAACCAAAGTAGTACGCATCTTGGAAAGAAGATATCCTTTGACTGTTACAGTATACAAGTATCTGACCGTCGGTATCGACGTTAAATTGCCCTCCGTGGTGACTATCGTTCTTGGAGACTGTCACGGCAAGGAGATGTCCCTCTCACCGACCGTATGGAGCGAGCTCGTTGAAAAAAAAAACGTCATACTACCGCTTTTGCAATACGAAGAAACCAAAGGAAAACGCACGCCACCGCCGATGTACATCGGAGACGTGACGTTGCGTTTCGGTCGAATTAACAGTATACCGATGTTACGTCTGGATTCATCGTCGTCTAAAGTGACCTTATCCAAAAGCACCGTTCTCAATTTGTTCAATCTCGAATATTGCGTCAATCGTCTTATTTCCTCGTTCAACGCTGTAACTGATACCATCGATAAAAAATTCTCGCGTCTTCTCAATATCGCGACCAATGTGAACGATTATACGAAATTATCAAGAACCATGTACGAAAACGAATCTTTCGATCGCAACGACATAATCAATTGCGAACTGATCGCACTGATCTTCGGACAAAATTAAAACGCTTTACGAATAAACATTGTACTTTCACATGTAACAATAATCGAATAAATATGTTCATTCAGTTGACAAATAAGAAAATAATTTTATTCGTCCGATCCTACCGATTACGCGTTGATAAAACACTGTAGACGAAGATTATATACCGATTATGCAATGTTAGGTATGATTAAGTGACAAAAATTCTCACGACAGCGTATCTCATCGCTCGACCTTGCAATTAGTCGTAACATTCAACGTGACCTTTTGACTCGAGATTACGAGTGCATCGCACTCACGCGTCGAGACGCGCGACGTCGAATAAATTGATACAGTATAAATAATAAAAACAATATTAAATATTCTGAAAATGAATAAATTATTTCAAGGGCGACATGAATCAAAGGTATTCTTTTAAACAATAAAACATTTAATTAATCACTACTTAATTTAGACATTATAACTAACATTTATAAGTAAAAGGTTTTTATCATCGTTTCAGAGATGATATACGACTTTTCAATCGTGTGTACCAACATTTCTTAACGTCTGACGAGGAGGGCTCAATTAGAGAGCCAAAACGTGTAACATATTTATATTTATTATCTACTTTCTTTATTTTGTTTTTATTATCTTGTTTTAAAGACGAATTATTGTTAAGCGATGTCTAAATTAAGTATTGACTAATTAAAGGAATAAGATAAATCATGTAAAATAAATAAATATCTTTTCACTCAATATGATGTCGTATGTGACCTCTTGTGTTAACGATTTATTTCCTTAGACTATTTCGCAATTTCCGCAAAATTTCGTTCAAAGTGTCATCGCGACATGTATTTTTTCATGATTTTCCGACAACTTTACGATTTATTTCCTTAGACTTTTCGCAATTTCCGCAAAATCTCGTTTAAAGTGTCATCGCGACATTTACTTTTTCATGTTTTTTCGACAAAATTACATATCGCGCTATGCGATTTTCACTATTTTTCAAAATTTTGACTATTTAAATAGATTGATGTTAAATCAAATCTATTAGTCTATTCTACACGATCCATATATCTATTTCCATATATCTATTACTACGAAAATGAGCAATCTCAAAGAACTCCTTATAATCAAATACCGATACCCAGTTAGAGCGGTAAGTATTTCAAAACTATAAATTTGTATTGGCAATATTAACCTTTATTTTGATTTTCCAGGAAATAATGGTAGACAATCAAATAATGGAATATGTAAGACTGAGAGACGAATTAGGAATTCAAATACGTCCTTTGGTAAGTTGTAATTGCTACTTAGTAAATTATATTTATATATTGTATACTGTAACTCTCTTTTATACACAGGAAACATCGTTGTGGAACGTGGAGATAGTTGGGTTTATTAACATGCGTCACATGTATGATACCCAACTTGAAAGAAGTAGGGACCGAGAAAATATGTTCCACACGTGGGAGGTAAAACTATATCTCCCACAATTATTCGGAGAAGAGCCGTATGAGGACGATTTCGAAGAGGATTGGAATTGTAAGTATAATGTGAGTTTTTTAAATGTAGAAAAATTAACAAAAAAAATTTTTTGTTTTCAGAAAATACATCACCCTCTCAAAATTGTTTATTACAACCCTGTACATTATAATTATTAGTACAACCCTGTACATTACAAAATAAAGTTATTTTAAAATGACATCAATAGTTGTATTCTACACTCTCGAATAAAAATACCCAGTCATATATCTGTTGTTCAGATGTTTCTATTTATTGTATGTATGATTTTATACGTTTTTCATGTATTGTATGTATAATGTTCTCTAGAGTATATTATCTCCTAACATTGAATATAACAGACATGCTACAGTATCATCTATATCAGTGCTCGGAATTAGTTGCACATTTCGGGCCGATTTCTGAGGCGACGCCTACTGTCTCCCCACTACCACTCGAGCCTCGGCGGCCGAGCCGCCGACCGCTCACGTGACGCTGTGCCTCAGGAGTGTCGCGATACTTTCCAGTATGCTGGGAGTACACCTTCCGACAAATATCATTAAAATATTTTTTTTCTACGTGATTTTTATTTAAACAAATTTTTTTATTATTAGCATATTATGTATATATTCTATAATAATATAATTTTGACAATTATTACAGTATGATAATTACAATATTGATCAACAGTTTTCCACATCACCTCTGAGGTACTATTGTTGACGCGTTTTTTTAAAATGGTTTCCCCAGTAGGCCTATTCCACTAAAAAAAAATAACGAAAAGCTGATTAAGTATATAGCTCGAGGAAAGCAATATTCTTTAATGTTAAATATTTGTTTAAAAAACGAACGCGGATGAAACGGGAATAATTAATTTTCTTGAAATCTTAAATTTGACCTTCGGAGTCGTTTGCACGATTGTACTAGTAATGATACATCCACAAAGATTTTAGACATAGTAGTTCGCATCATCGAGGATAACGATGCATCTTTTAAACATGAACGTTTTTCCGTTTTGAAAATGATGCATCGTTATCCCCGATGATGCAAAATACTACTTCTGAAATCTCTGTGGATGTATCATCACTAATACAATCGTGCAAACGACCCAGAAGGTCAAATTTAAAATGACAAGTAAATTAATTATTTCAGTTTCATCCTCGTTCGTTTTTTATAAATATTTAACATTAAAGAATATTGCTTTCCTCGAGCTATATACTTAATCAGCTTTTTCGTTATTTTTTTTTAGTGGAATAGGCCTACTGGGGAAACCACTTAAAAAAAACGCGTCAACAATAGTACCTCAGAGGTGATGTGGAAAACTGTTGTTCAATACTGTAATTATCATACTGTAATAATTGTCAAAATTATATCATTATAGAATATATATACATAATATGCTAATAATAAAAAAATTTGTTTAAATAAAAATCACGTAGAAAAAATATATTTTAAAGATATTTGTTGGAAGATGTACATACTCCCAGCATACTGGAAAGTATCGCGACGCTCCTGAGGCACAGCGTCACGTGAGCGGTCGGCGGCTCGGCCACCGAGGCTCGAGTAGTAGTGGGGAGACAGTAGGCGTCGCCTCAGAAATCGGCCCGAAATGTGCAACTAATTCCGAGCACTGATCTATATGTATATGTTTTCTGTATAACATGTGTATGATTTCATTTATGTTTCGCTATAATTAATATTCTTGTCATATTAAAATCGTTTTGTTATACTGAGAGGCTTAAAAAACAAGAGTCTTGCTGGTGCTTCACCAAATTGTGTATGATTTTATTTATGTAATTTATCTTATTTTGTCAAACTCTGTATTTACATTTTTTTCTTTGTAATTCTTATATACAATAAATAATAATAAAATAATTATGAACTTCACACAAATAAAATTTATAATAAGTTATTCGTCGTATCTCGATGTTGTTGTACCTCTCGGTGCAACAAGATATTATTTTGGGATTCGATCCGCTCAAAGGGTTGGAACCCACGAGGAAAACAAGGAAAGTGGTCAAGGTCGTAGAACAAACACACACTGCACCACACTTTTATTAAAATAACCCCTTTTATTTATTATAACACTTACAATTTCGAGTGGTTATTACCACTGATTACATTTAACCCTTTGTTGAATTGGTACAATTACCCGATTAAAAGATTACACTTTGATTGTTACAATTCGAGTAGTTGATTATAATAGTTGGATTTAATTAAAAGAATAATACTCGGGTTAAAGTCCTCGCTCGTGACTTAGACCGGTCGGCGACACTCGTTATCGCGGATGTAATATGACTCGGTTCTCGCGACGCGCGTAACGTATCGTTACGTTTAGATGTATGACAAGACTCTCTCGCCGGTCCTTAGACCGCCGAATATATAGGCGTCGCGGAGTCATCGAACTAGCGGCATTCGTGCCGTGTGCAATGCGGACTTCGTCCTCTTGCATTTCGGCAGTTCGTTGTCCTGTCGAAATGCAAGATTTGCTTTTTATTACTAATTGTTCGATGTGCGTGCGGTCATTGCTTGCGTTCGATCAGTGATCGTTGTCCGCACGCGTTATGGAATTTGCAGCCTTGCATTTCCGCAAGTCGTTGCTATGCCGAAATGCAAAGGTTGCTTTGCAGTAATAATCTTGCATTTCCGCCAGCTCGTTGCTAGGCTGAAATGCGAGA